TTCCCTCTTTGCACACTGCATGGCGTTGTCCGTCTTCATTAGCCCCAGTCGGACGCAAAACTCCATTCAATTTGATTGTTACTTTTCTTTTTAATTTCAGATCAGAACAGAAGAAAACCCAGAATTCAAACCTTTAACCCAATTTCTCAATAAAGTAGTTGTTCCGACCTAGGCTTGTACATTTGGGAGAATCGAACCCTCTCTCCCCCGAAATCTAATCATTTTAATTTCAGAAAAGAAAATCTGCTTTGTTCGACTAATCACCATCACGGTCATTATATGACAAAGGGTATATTTAAAGATAACAACTTTTGCTTCACACATCAGTTTACCGTAAGGACTATCTCATAAACTAACAAAACTGGTCATTATTTAGGTGCGTTCAAATAAACCGAGGGTCTTTGTTTCATGTCCATCGTTCTCTTAATGACACTGTCAAACTCGACTGACATGACAGCTATTACTGTCTTCAATAAGAATCCACGAACACAATTATTTGGAGTATGTTGACACCGTTTGTAAAGTTCAAGACATTAGAAATTTGGAAGTCGGCCAGTTCGATTGAATCAGATGATTTTATGAACAAAGGGGGTCATTTAATAGTCAACTTAAAACTTTTTATTACTTTACCACAAAGGTGAATTTTAACTACGCATCTGGACTAACAAAGGATTCGTGATTATTTTCAAAATGTAAACAACTTTTAAGTTTTGAGATAAAACATACTGACGTTTACATTTTACATTATCAAATACATAGATATTGCAATATAATTTAAAAGCATATTTCTACTTGCTATGCTATACTACACTGTTGGTTTTGATATACTAATATACTTATTGCCTACTTTAGCCATGTGCTTTAACGTATTATGATAGTATATCTTGAATATAGATTTTTTTTCCAAACAAAGAACTTAACATATTATGTCAATATCAAATATGGATACTAATGGTATTTCGGGGAACCCAACGTAAAAAATGGTGCAGTACTTGATCACTTCAATTTATGAAGCTTTAAACATTTTCGATTGTTGGTTTAAAATATGGGAACATTATATGTATCATTGCATATAGCTAGTTGAGGCGTTGCTCTTTTCTTTATTTCCTTTATGTCTTAGGAAGACAAAGGGGGCATCGCAACGAAGAGATAAAAGGCGTCCGACGTGAACAGTGAACGGGAAGATTCATTTTAGGGCATTTATACTTAATTGCTATGTTCAACGTATATTCTTTATGTTCAGGCAGTAAAATTGCTCGTAGGTTCCAGACCAAGATATGACTTGCATCTTAAAAGAAATATATCCATCCCTTTAAAAACTCATTATTTCGTGCTGTCAAGAAAGAGAACCATTTAAAGATGGAAGCAATGCACTTCTGTTGAGCTATTTAAGGAATAGGCCTATAGTTTCCATTAATATGCGACTTGAGAGCCTTTGACAATTTCACGCTATGAAAATATTTTTTATGTAAAGCACTAACCTTTATCGTCTGCTTTTAAATTTCTGCAACATTTTTCCACTTGTTTGTTATTCCCAACACATTCATGAAAACATCTTATAGAATCCACTCTTCGCTTGTTATTGAAAGCGACTTGCTATAAACACAAACGATCGAAATCCCCGACTTCGCTATGTCAATCCTGAAATGGATCGATACGCTTTCGTTTGATACAAGACCATCTGAATGTAGTGTAGCTGACTCAGTTTTGGTCGAGCAGAAGGGGGCTACGTCATCTCTCAGCTGTTGCAGACGACAATCAATAAGGAAATCGCGCGACTTCTGCCCAAATCCTATCTACTTCTGCTAGCCGAGTTTCTATCGTCTGCTAGCAGGGTATCTAATTTTGCCTCCTGTGTTAATCCATTAATGAAACAAAAACACAGCGAACGTTTCAAATTTCAGAATTGTAAACACAAACTAAGATTCGCACTCTAGGAGGAAGTGAAAATGAAGTTAACAGACGATGTAACACACGTGAGGTGTTTGTCTTTATGTGGTGTAGAGTTTAAGGAAGAGCTGTTTATGAGATAAAATAAAGATTAATAGAAAATTGTCATAAATCTTCAAATCGTTACTTATTACGTAAGTAATTGAACGTTATAATTGATTTTGAATAGGTCCAAAGGCCTCGAGGGTATAAACTTGATCTCCGTTGTGAGAATGGGCATATCCATCGGTTTTTTTTAATAAAAAGTAAAAATTGAAATAGATTACGTCACTTTGACAGGAAGTAAATGTTGTTTTATCTCAGAATCTTGCTTAAATAATTTATATCAAATCGCTATCGCTGCCAGGCACAATATCCGCTTATTATATTAAAAATTTAAACTTTAAGTTAAAGTAGGTAAGCAAACCTGCCTGATTTTGGCAGTTTTCTGTGGTTAAAATGTGTTGTGTAGTTGTGTGTTGTATAATCGAGTATATTTATGTGCAGAAAAACATACATATATAATAATTGTCAGGTACTCATAAAAAACGATATTAAAGAAACTAATAGATACATTGAAATAAATGGAAAAACAAAGCATTGTTCAAACTCCTGCTTTGGTGGTGGGGTTGGGGGAGGGGGGGGGGGATACAAGACTATTCGGTTTATAGTAAATATCCCCTTACTATCAATATTGAACAATGTATTTTGTGCCTGTTGCCTCTCACACATCTCGGGCTATTGCTTTTGCAAAGATTTACCTAGAAAACAAGATCTAAAATCATGCTATGTTTGGTAATAGGCTACTATATCAAACCCCATTTTAGTAAACTGTCGAGCGCTTCGAGAGATTCCTAAATTGTTTGACCATGATGGGCCTATTAACGTCCTAATCTGGCAAGTTTCTGGAACCACACATGGAAAATGGAAATTGTGTCAATATGAGCTCGAAGTAGTCTAAGTAACCAGTGGTTCAATGAGTTAGACGCTTGCTCCCTTACCTGAAGGTCCAGGGTTCAATCCCGGCATAGGTCGAGATACCTTCGGATTTTTCGACCCGGTATCCCCCTGTCAGTGATGCAGGTAAGAGTTGCCGACATGCAGAAAGCGTCTAGTCGTTCGGATGGGACAATAAACCGAGATGGTTGGAAATCGAAAAAAGAGCAGGCAAAATTTCCATCATTGTACCCTGCATGGCGTTGTCCGCCTTGGGGAAATTTGGAACATTTCATTCTAAGAATATTTTTTGGTAGTTTATTGTGGCATTGTATCCAGTAGAATATGACATTTCTTATTGTTTTTAGCAGATGTGACATTCAGTGGCGTTTCTAATTTTTTTATCATTTAACATAGTGAAGTGGCCTCTGGTCCTTTGGAAAATTTTGTGACTCCTGGTCGGGCCCCCTCGCTTAATGTTTCCTAGAAACGCCACCGGTGACGCTACGCCATGAGGACTCTTCATAGCCCATGCAGCACATGTTACATTCGTATATTTATGATGAGTACTATATAGTAGGTAATTCACCCCATTAACCTTTAATTAGTCAATACTGAATAGATGAACCATGAAATTTATTAATGAATATCAGTATAAACATCTTGATTATAATTCAGTGAACGTAATCCAACTGAATATTTCACAGCTTTTACATATTGCATCTAGTTATATAATAATACGACACCTCTTGACATGATGATGAATTGTCCAAAACTAGTATCCGCTTAAATAATTACCAAAATAACTTGGTAACTAGACCTTCATCCCCAATTAATCATCGACTGGTTACTCATTCATATTTCACAATTCATATTCATTTATTAAGCAATGATACTTTGTTCATCAACTTTACTGTTAATGTGAATCACTGGGACTGTTGCCGTCTCTTTTAACACATCCAAAACATCATATTTGTACCTTGTTTGACTGCAGCAAATAAACCTCATATTAGATGATATTAAACCACTGGGATTGATTGTTCATTGGCTGCCAATGGTGAATCATTGAGATTGATTATTCACGCACTATTAATTGTAGATAACTGAAACTGATTATGTATTAATTGTTAATGGTGAAGCCACTGGGACTGATTGTTCATTGACAGTTAATGATGAATCATTGAGACTGATTGTTCATTGACTGATAATGAAGAATCATTGAAACTGATTGCTCATTGAGTGTTAATGGTAAATAAGTGAAACTGATTATTCATTAACTGTTAATGGTAAGTAATTGAAACTGATTATTCATTGACTGATAATGGTGAACCATTGAAACTGATTGCTCATTGACTGTTAATGGTAAATAAGTGAAACTGATTATTCATTAACTGTTAATGGTAAGTAATTGAAACTGATTATTCATTGACTGATAATGGTGAATCATTGAAACTGATTGCTCATTGACTGTTAATGGTAAATAAGTGAAACTGATTATTCATTAACTGTTAATGGTAAGTAACAGAAACTGATTATTTATTGACTGTTAATGGATCATCGGAACTGACTGGGTCAATGGGAATAATTACTCGACTAAGCAACTGACACATCCTTGTGCATCTCTATCGGAGTACCAAAATTGGCATTTCCGCGGTCATCCACGACCATTTAATCC